GGGGGTCTATGGGGGGTTATAATGGGTCTGGGGGGGTCTATGGGGGGGTTATAATGGGTCTGGGGGGGTTATAATGGGTCTGGGGGGTTATAATGGGTCTGGGGGGTCTATGGGGGGGTTATCATGGGTCTGGGGGGTTATAATGGGTCTGGGGGGGTCTATGGGGGGGTTATATGGGTCTGGGGGGGTTATAAGGGGTCTGGGGGGTTATAATGGGTCTGGGGGTTAAATGGGTCTATGGGGGTCTATGGGGGGGGTTATAATGGGTCTGGGGGGGTTATAATGGGTCTGGGGGGTCTATGGGGGGGTTATAATGGGTCTGGGGGGGTCTATGGGGGGTTATAATGGGTCTGGGGGGGTTATAATGGGTCTATGGGGGGTCTATGGGGGGGTTATAATGGGTCTGGGGGGTCTATGGGTGCTATGGGGGGGTTATAATGGGGCAGGGAGTGGTTTTGGGGTGCTTTTGGGGTATTTTGGGCTATTTTTAGGGCAGTTTAGGGGTATTTTGGTGTACTTGAGGGCGTTTTGGTGTTATTTGGGCGTGGTTTCAGGGGGTTTTGGAGTATTTGGGGGTTTTGGGAACGGTTTGGGGTGTTTTGGGGGTGATTTTGGGTATTTTGGGGTGTTTTGGGGGTGTTTTCTGGTGTTTTGAGGGTATTTTGGGGTGATTTGGGGCGGTTTTGGGTGATTTTGGGGTGATTTGGGGGTGATTCATTGCTCACCTGCGGATGCAGCGGCGGGTGCGGGGGGGGCAGGGTGCGGGGGGGTGGGGGGGGAGGAGCCCCGGTTGCCCCCTCCTGCCCGGGGCCGTGCTGGGCCGGGGGGGCCTCATCCTGCGCCGGCGGCCGCGGCCGGGCCGAGCCCTGGTCCAGCTCCTGGGTGCCCGGGCGGCCCAGCCTGCGCTGCCCACTGCCGCCTATGGGAGACAATGGGGGGGAATGCATCCCATAATACCCAATGGGGGGGGTTAATACAGCCCATAATAGCCATGGGCCCAGCCTGCGCTGCCCACTGCCGCCTATGGGAGACAATGGGGGCAATGCATCCCATAATACCCAATGGGGGGGTTAATACATCCCATAATAGCCATGGGCCCAGCCTGCGCTGCCCACTGCCGCCTATGGGGGACAATGGGGGCAATGCATCCCATAATACCCAATGGGGGGGTTAATGCATCCCATAATAGCCATGGGCCCAGCCTGCGCTGCCCACTGCCGCCTATGGGGGACAATGGGGGGGAATGCATCCCATAATACCCAACCAACCATAATACAATGGGGGCAATGCATCCCATAATACCCAATGGGGGGCTTAATACATCCCATAATAGCCATGGGCCCAGCCTGCGCTGCCCACTGCCGCTATGGGGGACAATGGGGGCAATGCATCCCATAATACCCAATGGGGGGGTTAATACATCCCATAATAGCCATGGGCCCAGCCTGCGCTGCCCACTGCCGCCTATGGGGGACAATGGGGGCAATGCATCCCATAATACCCAATGGGGGGGAACACCCAAAACAACAACACCCAAAACAATTAATGCATCCCATAATAGCCATGGGCCCAGCCTGCGCTGCCCAATGCCGCCTATGGGGGACAATGGGGGCAATGCATCCCATAATACCCAATGGGGGGAACACCCAAACAACCAAACAACACCCAAAACACACAAACACCCAAAACACACAAACACCAAACACAGCTTAATACATCCCATAATACACATGGGTGCTTAATGCATCCCATAATACACATGGGTGCTTAATACATCCCATAATACACAAGGGTGCTTAATACATCCCATAGCACCCATAGGTGCTTAATGCATCCCATAATAGCCATGGGTACCAACCCCCCCCCCATAGCACCCATGGGTCCCCCCCATAGCCCCCCATAGCACCCATAGGTGCCCATTCCCCCCCATAGACTCCCATAGAGCACTATGGCGCCCCCTAGCGGCCACCCCGTGCCGCGCTCCCCAGCACCATTGACACTCAATGGAAGCGGCTCCCCATAGACCCCCATAGACCCCCATAGACCCCCATAGACCCCCCATAGACCCCCATAGACCCCCATAGACCCCCCATAGACCCCCATAGACCCCCCATAGACCCCCCATAGACCCCCATAGACCCCCATAGACCCCCATAGACCCCCATAGACCCCCATAGACCCCCATAGACCCCCCATAGACCCCCCATAGACCCCCATAGCACCCATGGGTGCCCCCCCACCTGTGTGCCCGGGGCCCTCCTCCTCCTCCTCACACTCCACTTCCACGGTGCCGGTGGCGCGGGGGGGGCGCTCCTGGGGGGGGGGGGGGGGGGTTAAAGGGGGGGGAAGGGGGGAGGACCCCACCCATGGGTGCTGCCCCCCCCAACCCCCACCTTGACCCCCCAGTGACCTTTGAAGGGGCTATGGGGGGGGGGGTTGCCCCATAGCAGGGCCCAATGGGTGCCCCCATTCACCCCATAGCAAGGCCCAATGGGTGCCCCATAGAGAGCAATACTTGCCCTATAGCAGGTCCCAATGGGTGCCCCATAGAGAGGGATCCCTGCCCCATAGCAAGACCCAATGGGTGCCCCATAGAGAAGCTCTCTGCCCCACAGCAGGGTCCAATGGGTGCCCCCATTCACCTCATAGAAAGGCCCAATGGGTGCCCCATAGAGAGGGATCCCTGCCCCATAGCAAGGCCCAATGGGTGCCCCATAGAGGGGTCCCTGCCCCATAGCAAGGCACAATGGGTGCCCCATAGAGAGGAACACTTGCCCTATAGCAGGTCCCAATGGGTGCTCCATAGAGGGGTCCCTGCCCCATAGCAAGGCCCAATGGGTGCCCCCATTCACCCCATAGCAAGGCCCAAGGGGTGCCCCATAGAGAGCAATACTTGCCCTATAGCAGGTCCCAATGGGTGCCCCATAGAGGGGGATCCCTGCCCCATAGTAAGACCCAATGGGTGCCCCATAGAGAAGCTCTCTGCCCCACAGCAGGGTCCAATGGGTGCCCCCATTCACCTCATAGAAAAGCCCAATGGGTGCCCCATAGAGAGATCCCTGCCCCATAGCAAGCCCCAATGGGTGCCCCATAGAGAGATCCCTGCCCCATAGCAAGCCCCAATGGGTGCCCCATAGAGGGCCCCCCAGCCCCATAGCAGCCCCCATTGGCTGCCCCACAGCAGAACCCAATGGGTGCCCCCATTCACCTCATAACAAACCCCAAGAGCTGCCCCATAGAGGGCCCCTCTGCCCCATAGCAGGACCCAATGGCTGACCCATAGAGGGTTCCCCTGCCCCATAGCAAGGCCCAATGGCTGCCCCCATTCACCCCATAGCAAACCCCAATGACTGCCCCATAGAGAGCCATCCCTGCCCCACAGCAAGGCCCAATGGGCGCCCCATAGAGGGCCCCCCTGCCCCACAGCAGCCCCCATCCGCTGCCCCACAGCAGAACCCCCTTCCCCATACCCGCCTCCCCTGCCCCATAGCAAACCACAACGCCTGCCCCATAGCAAAGCCCCCCCCTGCCCCATAGCGCTCCCGTTACCGGTCTCTCTCCCCTCAGGCCGGAGGCCGCCGCTGATGGCGCCGGAAGCTGAAGGGGGGGGGGAAGGGGGGGGGAAGGGAGGGGGCGGCGCCTCCCGCTCCGCCTCAAAATGGCGGCCGCGCCCCCCCCCCTTCGCTTCTCGTTACCGGTTCCCCCCTTTTTCTTTTTCCCCTCCCCCACCTCCCTACCCCCACTTTCCCACCCCTCCCCTCCCCCCCCCGATCGTTCAAGTCCCCTCCCCCCGCTCCGGTGCTCACGGTTCCGAGGCTCGGGCCCGGCGGCAAAATGGCGGCGACGCGTGAGGGGAGGACGGAGGGAAGGAAGGAAGGCGGAGGGGGGCGTGGCCTCGATGGGGAGATCTCGCGAGACTTCCGGCCCGCCTCCTCCGCATACAACGCTATTGGGGAAAAGGGGGGGGGAGATCTCGCGAGATCTCCGCGCCCGCCCGTCCCTCTTCTCGCGAGAAGCAACCAGCGAGGAAATGGCGGCGGCAGCGGCGGCAGAGGAAAGGGGGCGTGGCCATCTCACAGGCTCCGCCCACCCCCCCCCACCACCACCTCGGTGCTCCTGATTGGCCAATGACGTTCAGGCCCCACCCCCTCCCCCCCCGCCGGAAGCGACGTCGCGACGTTGCCCTTACCCGCACGTGGCGGCGGTGCGGGCATGGCGGCGGCCATGTTGACGGCGGGGAGGCCGCCATATTCGGTTAGCCACGTGACTCCTCCCCCCCTCCCCATCCCCATCCCCCCCCCATCATTTTTCGACACTTTGGGGCTTTTTGGAGGTTTTTTGGAGTTTTTTTTATCTAAAAGGAGCAGAAACGGCCTCAAAAAAAAAACCCTGTTTGGAGGGAAACGGGGGGAGGGGAAGGGGGAAAGGGAAGGGGGGGAGGGGTCATCCCAGAGGTCACCGGAGGTCCCCAAAGGTCATGAAGGGGCCGTAAGGTCAAGGCTCACCCATAGGTCATGGCGGGGTCGCTTAAGGTTAAAGGTCACCCCATAGGCAATGGGGGTGACTTGAAGGTCAAAGGTCAACCGTGAGGTCACAGGGGGTCCTTAAAAGTCAATGGTCACCCCATTTTGGCTATGGGGTTAATAAAGGTCAAAGGTGACCCCATAAGTCATGGGGGTCACGCCATAGGTCACGTGGGGTCCCTAAAGGTCAAGGGTCACCCATGTGAGAGGGTTCACTCAAGGTCAAAGGTCACCCCATAGGGTCACACTGGGCACATTCGGGAGGGGGGCAGGGGCAGGCAGTGACCCCAGTTGACCCCCTTGACCTCACGTGACCCCATTGTGCCCATTGACCCGCATTGATCCCATTGACCGCCATTGACCTCCATTGACCCCCATTGACTCCATTGACCCCCACTGACTCTCATTGGCCTCCATTGACCCCATTGACCTCCATTGACCCCATTGACCCCCATTGCTACCCATTGACCACAGGTGACCCCATTGACTCCCATTGACCCCCCTTGACCCCCGGTGACCCCGGATGACCCCGGATGACCCCGGGGTCACAGGAAGTAGTCGGCCACGGGCTTCTTGGCGGGGATCCCGCGCGTCTCCTGCGGCGCCGCCTCGAAGATGATGAACTCCTTCTGCAGGTGCTCGTCCAGCTCCAAGATGGCCGCCACGTTCCCGCACCTGCGACCCACAGAGACCCATAGAGACCCATAGAGACCCCATAGAGACCCATAGAGACCCATAGAGACACATAGAGACCCATAGAGACCCCATAGAGACCCCATAGAGACCCCATAGAGACCCATAGAGACCCATAGAGACACATAGAGACCCATAGAGACCCCATAGAGACCCATAGAGACCCCATAGAGACCCCATAGAGACACCATAGAGACACCATAGAGACACCATAGAGACCCATAGAGACCCCATAGAGACCCATAGGGACCCATAGAGACCCCTAGAGACCCAAACAGACCCCATAAGGACCCATAGAGACACATAGAGACCCATAGAGACCCCATAGAGACCCAAACAGCCCCATAGGGACCCATAGAAACCCATAGGGACCCATAGAGACCCTATAGAGACCCATACAGATCCCATAGGGACCCATAGAGGCCCTACAGAGACCCATAGAGACCCCATAGGGACCCACAGAGACCCACAGAGACCCAAACAGACCCCATAGGGACCCATAAAGACCCCACAGAGACCCAAGGCGTGTCCTTAGCGTGTCCTTAGTGTGTCCTTAGCATGTCCTTAGCATGTCTCTATCCCCTTAGCATGCTGCTATTCCCCTTAGCATGTCCTTAGCATGTCACTCTCCCCCTTAGCATGTCCTTAGCATGTCTCTACCCCCTTAGCATGTCCTTAGCATATCTCTGTCTCTCTTAGCATGCTGCTATCCCCCTTAGCATGTCCTTAGTGTGTCCTTAGCATGTCCTTAGCATGTCTCTACCCCCTTAGCATGTCCTTAGCATGTCCTTAGCGTGTCCCTATCCCCCTTAGCATGCCCTTAGCGTGTCCTTATCCCCCTTAGCATGTCCTTAGCATGTCAATATGTCCCTTAGCATGTCCTTCGCATGTCTGTACCCCCTTAGCATGTCTCTGTCTCTCTTAGCATGTTGCTATCCCCCTTAGCGTGTCCTTAGCGTGTCCTTAGCGCGCCCCTCACCGGTAGCAGTAGTTGGGGGCGGACCAGACGGTGAGCACGGTCTCCCCGAAGTGCCCCTAACTACAGACCCAATGGGTGTCTATGGGCATTACCCCCTTAGCATGTCCTTAGTGTGTCCTTAGCATGCCCTTAGCGTGTCTCTACCCCCTTAGCGTGTCCTTAGCATGCCCTTAGCGTGTCTCTACCCCCTTAACATGTCCTTAGCGTGTCCTTAGCATGTCCTTAGCGTGTCTCTACCCCCTTAGCATGTCCTTAGCATGTCCTTAGCATGCCCTTAGCATGTCTCTACCCCCTTAGCATGTCCTTAGCATGCCCTTAGCATGTCTCTACCCCCTTAGCATGTCCTTAGCATGTCCTTAGCATGCCCTTAGCATGTCTCTACCCCCTTAGCATTTCCTTAGCATGCCCTTAGCATGTCTCTGCCCCCTTAGCGTGTCCTTAGCATGTCCTTAGCATGCCCTCAGCGCGCCCCCCCTCACCGGTAGCAGTAGTTGGGGGCGGACCAGACGGTGAGCACGGTCTCCCCGAAGTGCCACTTGTAGCCCTCCATGACGAGCTGGTGCGCGCGCCCGATCATGGCGATGGCGTTGGCGGCGTTGAACTGGGCCACCACATCGCTGCCAAACAGGTACCCGGCCCCCCGGGGGGACACCCCCCAGCCCGTGGTGTCTGCAAGGGGGATATGGGGGGGTATGGGGGGGGTATGGGGGGATATGGGGGGGATATGGGGGGGTATGGGGGTGTATGGGGGGGATATGGGGGGGATATGGGGGTCTATGGGGGGGATATGGGGGGATATGGGGGGATATGGGGGGGATATGGGGGGATATGGGGGGGTATGGGGGGATATGGGGGGATATGGGGGGATGGGGGTCTATGGGGGTCTATGGGGGGGAATGGGGGGGATATGGGGGGATATGGGGGTCTATGGGGGTCTATGGGGGTCTATGGGGGTCTATGGGGGGTCTATGGGGGTCTATGGGGGTCTAGGGGGGTCTATGGGGGTCTATGGGGGGTCTATGGGGGTCTATGGGGTCTAGGGGGGGTATTGGGGTCTATGGGGGTCTCTATGGGGGTCTATGGGGGCTCTATGGGGGGTCTATGGGGTCTATGGGGGTCTATGGGGGTCTATGGGGGGTCTATGGGGGTCTATGGGGGGTCTATGGGGTCTATGGGGGTCTATGGGGGTCTATGGGGGTCTATGGGGGGTCTATGGGGGGTCTATGGGGTCTATGGGGGTCTATGGGGGTCTATGGGGGTCTATGGGGTTCTATGGGGGTCTATGGGGTCTATGGGGGTCTATGGGGAGCCGCTTCCATTGAGTGTCAATGGTGCTGGGGAGCGAGGCACGGGGTGGCCGCTAGGGGGCGCCATAGTGCTCTATGGGGGGATATGGCGGGGCTATGGTCTATGGCTTTAATGGGCTATGGGGCCAATGGGTCTACAGGCTATGGGGGGGGCTATGGGGCTGCCACTATGGGGAATGACCCCCCCCTAATACAGCCACCCCATTGGAGCCCCCATTGCACATTACACATACCCATAGACACGCTCCAACACGCTCCAACACCCTCTAACACGCTCCAACACGGTTTAACATGCTGTAACACGCTCCAACACGCTCTAACACGCTGTAACACGCTTTAACACACTCTAACATGCTGTAACACGCTGTAACATGGTTTAACACGCTCTAACACACTGTAACACACTCTAACACGGTTTAACATGCTCCAACACGCTCCAACACGCTCTAACACGCTCTAACACGCTCTAACATGGTTTAACACGCTCTAACATGGTTTAACACGCTCTAATACGCTGTAACATGCTCTAACATGGTTTAACATGCTGTAACACGCTCTAACATGCTGTAACACGCTCTAACACACTCCAACATGCTCCAACACACTCTAACATGCTCCAACACGCTCTAACACGGTTTAACACGCTAGAACACGCTCCAACACGCTAGAACACGCTCCGACATGCTCTAACACGCTCCAACACGCTCTAACAGGCTAGAACACGCTCCGAGACGCGCGCGCGGGGCCTCACCCTCGGGGTCGGACCAGAGCAGGTCGCACATGGGGCCGTCGTGAGGCACCTCCTGCTTGCGGTCAATGGTGCGGATCTGGTCCAGGGTCTGGATGGAGGGCGAGAGCCCGCCGTGCACACAGAAGATCTGCGGGGGAGGGGGCACACGTGGGCTTAGCGTGGGCTTAGCATGTTTGTGTGCTTAGTGTGTGCTTAGCCTGTGCTTAGCATGTTTGTGCCCTTAGCATGTTCTTAGCATGTTCTTAGCGTGTTTGTGCCCTTAGCATGTCCTTAGTGAGTCCTTAAGTGCGTCCTTAGCATGTCCTTAGCCTGTCCTTAGCATGTTTGTGCCCTCAGTGTCCTTAGTATGTCCTTAGCCTGTCCTTATCATGTTTGTGCCCTTAGCATGCCCTCAGCGTGTCCTTAGCATGTCCTTAGGATGTCGTTAGCCTGCCCTTAGTGTGTCCTTAGCATGTGCTTAGCATGTTCTTAGCCTGTCCTTAGCGTGTTAGTGCCCTTAGCCTGCCCTCAGCGTGTCCTCAGCGTGCCCTTCGCGTGTCCTTAGCATGTTAGTGCCCTTATCATGTCCTTATCATGTCCTTAGCCTGTCCTTAGCATGTTTGTGTCCTCAGCCTGTCCTTAGCATGTTAGTGTCCTTAGTGTGCCCTTAGCATGTCCTTAGCCTGTCCTTAGCGTGTCCTTAGCCTGTCCTTAGCATGTTAGTGTCCTTATCATGTCCTTATCATGTCCTTATCATGTCCTTAGCCTGTCCTTAGCATGTTAGTGCCCTTTGCATGCCCTCAGCCTGCCCTCAGCCTGCCCTCAGCCCGTCAGTGCCGCACCTTGCCGTCGATGATGGCCGAGAGGCTGAGGTAGTCGAAGATCTCGGTGCAGTAGCGCCACACGGTGACGGAGCCGTACTTGCGCAGGCACTCGTCGTAGAAGCCGTAGACCTGCGTGATCTGGCGGCTCTCGTGGTTGCCCCGGATCAGGGTGATGCGGTCCGGGTAGCGCACCTGCAATGGGGGGGTAATGGGGTTCCTATGGGTACCTTCTCTATGGGGAAGCAATGGGGTTCCTATGGGTGCCGCACCTGCAATAGGGGGGGGTAATGGGGTCCCTATGGGTGACACTGCTATGGGGAGGCAATGGAGTCCCTATGGGTAGCGCACCTGCAATGGGGTCCCTATGGGTGACTCTGCTATGGGGGGGTAATGGGGTTCCTATGGGTACCACACCTGCAATGGGGTCCCTATGGGTGACACCGCTATGGGGGGGTAATGGGGTCCCTATGGGTACCACACCTGCAATGGGGGCCCTATGGGTGACACCGCTATGGGGGGGTAATGGGGTCCCTATGGGTACCTTCTCTATGGGGCGGCAATGGGGTCTCTATGGGTAGCACCACTATGGGGTGGTAATGGGTTCCCTATGGATACCCCCTCTAAGGGTCCTCCCAGGCAGTAGGGGGCGCCAATGGGTTCCTATGGATACCCCTCTATGGGTCCTCCCAGGCAGCAGGGGGCGCTAATGGGTTCCTATGGATCCCCTCTATGGGTCCTCCCAGGCAGTAGGGGGCGCTAACAGGTTCCCTATGGACCCACATGGGTCCTCCCGCACACCAGGGGGCGCCACCACCTTCCTACCGCTTGGGTCTCCCTATGGGTCCCTCCCTATAGGTTCCCCCCTTTAATGTGCAGGTCCCATGGGATGCCCCATACATTGGGGGTCCTGCCCCATACATTGGGGTCCAGCCCCACACATTGGACTCTGCCCCACACATTGGGGTCCAGCCCCACACACTGGGCTCATGCCCCACAGATCAGGGTCTGCCCCACACATGGGGGTCCTGCCCCACACATGGGGGTCCTGCCCCACACATGGGGGTCCCCCCGCCCCACCTTGAGCGCCAGCAGCAGCAGGAAGGTCTCGACGCTGTAGAAGCCCCGGTCCACGAAGTCCCCCATGAACAGGTAATTGGTCTCGGGGACATCGCCCCCCACCTGTGGGGCACAAAGGGGGCACTTATGGGGCAGGAGGGGGGCACTTATGGGGCAGGAGGGGGGCACTTATGGGGCAAGAGGGGGGCACTTATGGGGCAGGAGGGGGGCACTTATGGGGCAGGAGAGAGGCGCTTATGGGGCAGGAAGGGGGCACTTATGGGGCAGAAGAGGGGCACTTACGGGGCAGGAGGGGGGCACTTATGGGGCAGGAGAGAGGCGCTTATGGGGCAGGAAGGGGGCACTTATGGGGCAGGTGGGGGGCACTTATGGGGCAGGTGGGGGGCACTTATGGGGCAGGTGAGGGGCACTTATGGGGCAGGAGGGGGCACTTATGGGGCAGGAGGGGGCACTTATGGGGCAGGAGGGGGGCACTTATGGGGCAGGAAGGGGGCACTTATGGGGCAGAAGAGGGGCACTTATGGGGCAGGAGAGAGGCGCTTATGGGGCAGGAAGGGGGCACTTATGGGGCAGGTGGGGGGGCACATATGGGGCAGGTGGGGGGCACTTATGGGGCACAGGGGGGCACTTATGCTGCAGGAGGGGGGCACTTATGGGGCAGGGGGACTGCACTTATGGGGCAGGAGGGGGGCACTTATGGGGCAGTAAAGGGATGTGAGGAAGGTGTTATGGGGCAATGAGGGGGTCCAGGAACACTTGGGGGTCACTTGGGGGTCACTTGGGGGTCGGGGGGGGTGCACTTGTGGGGCAGCTCACCCTGAAGAGCTCCTTGAGGTCATAGAACTGCCCATGGATGTCACCACAGACCTGGGGGGGGAATGGGGGTCAGAGACACACTGCCCCATAGCCCCCCATATCCGCCCCATAGCCCCCTATATCCCCCCCATAGCCCCCCATATCCACCCCATAGCCCCCTATACCCGCCCCATAGCCCCCCATATCCGCCCCATAGCCCCCTATAGCTGCCCCATATCCGCCCCATATCCGCCCCATAGCTGCCCCATAGCTCTCACCGTGACCGGGGAGTCCACCCTCTGCACGTTGCTCTCCTCCACCAGGATCTCCCTGCAGGCAATGGGGGGGTGTTAATTGAGGGCATGCAAATGAGGCAGTGTATGCAAATGAGGCTCTGCAAATGGAGTTGTGTATGCAAATGAGATGATGTATGCAAATGAGGGCCTGTATGCTATAGAGTGTATGCAAATGGGTCCCTGTAGGCAAATGAGAGTGCGTGCAAAATGAGGCACTGTATGTAAATGAGAGCGTATGCAAATGAGTGTATGCAAATGGGTCCGTGTGTGCAAATGAGGCACTATATACAAATGAGAGGCATGCACGCAAATGAAGGTGTATGCAAATGAGGGGTGTGCACGCAAATGAGGTATGTGTGCAAATGAGGGGGTGTATGCAAATGAGGGGGTCTGTATTCAAATGAGGGTGGCTGTGTGCAAATGAGGGGTGTGTATGAAATGGGGTGTGTTCGCTAATGAGGATGTCTATGCAAATGAAGGGGTGTGCATGGAAATGAAGGGTTTGCGTGCAAACTAAGGGATGTGTATGCAAATGAGGCAGGGTGTATGCAAATGAGGGGCTGCCCCATATGCAAATGAGGGGGTGTGTATGCAAATGATGGGGTGTACAGGGGTGAGGGGTGTGTATGGAAATGAGGGTTGTGTACGCGAATGACGGGTGCCTATATGCAAATGAGGGGGTATGTATGCAAATGATGGGATTGTACGGAGGTGAGGTTGCCCATATGCAAATGAGGGGCTGTATGGAAATGAGGGGGTTTGGATGCAAATGATGGGGGTGTACGTGGGTGAGCGTCTGTATGGAAAAGAGGTTGGGTGTATGGATATGCAAATGAGGGGGCGTGTCGGTATGCAAATGAGGGGATGTCCGTATGCAAATGAGGGGCGTGTCGGTATGCAAATGACCTGGCCTTGGCGCACAGGGCCTTGACCTCGCTCTCCTTGATGAGCTCGCAGCGCCGCAGCTGCTCGATCTGCCGGTCCAGGTCGCTCAGCTCCCCCATCCCTGCCGGTCATTAGCATACGCTCATTAGCATACGGCTCATTAGCATACGGCTCATTAGCATACGGGTCATTAGCATAGGGTCATTAACATAGGATCATTAGCATGGTGTCATTAACAGGCTAGTTAGCATGGGGTAATTAGACTAGTTAGCAAAGGGTCATTAACATAGGGTCATTAACACAGGCTCATTAACATAGGCTAGTTAGCATAGGGTCATTAACCATAGGGCCATTAACATATGCTAATTAGCATAGGGTCATTAACAGGGTCACTAAAATAGGCTAGTTAGCATAGGATCATTATAATAGACTAGTAAGCATAGGGTCATTAACATAAGCTAGATACCATAGGATCATTAACCATAGGGTCATTAACATAGGCTAGTTAGCATAGGGTTATTAGCATAGACTAGTTAGCATAGGGTCATTAACATAGGCTAGTTAGCATAGGGTCATTAACATAGGCTAGTTAGCATAAGGTCATTAACATACTCTAACATAGGGTCGTTATCATAGGACAACTAACAGGCTCATTAACATACGCTAATTAACATAGGGTCCATAACACATGCTACCAAACAGCATCACAAACACGGGCTCATTAACATATGCTAATTAACATAGGCTCAGTAGCATGGGTCCATAGACCCCCCATATAACCCCCATATCCCCCCCATATCCTCCCATAGACCCCCATAGACCCCCCATAGACCCCCCATAGACCCCCCATAGACCCCCATAGACCCCCATAGACCCCCATAGACCCCCCATAGACCCCCATAGACCCCCATAGACCCCCATAGACCCCCATATCCCCCCCATAAACCCCATAGAGCCCCATAGCCCCCCCATACCCTCCATAAGACCCCTCATATGACCTAGCGCCCCCATGACCACCCACAGACCCCCATAGACCACCCACAGACCCCCATAGACCCCCCATAGATCCCCATACACCCCCATATCCCCCCATATCTCCCCATAGACCCCCATAGATCCCCATAGACCCCATAGGGCCCCACCGGCAGCGACCTCCGGCGCCGCGGCCGCCGCGCGTCACTTCCAGGCCGGCCCGCAGCCGGAAGCGGAAGTGAGAGGCCGGCGGCGGGAAGTGACGTCAGCAGGGAGGCGGGGCTAGCAGCGGAGCGGACGTAACCATTGATCCCTATGGGTCCCATTGATCTCTATGGGTCCCAGTGCACCCCTATGGGTCCCATTGATCTCTATGGGTCCCAGTGCACCCCTATGGGTCCCAATGCACCCCCTATGGGTCCCATTGCCCCCCCCTTGGGCTCCATTGTGTCCTATAGGTCCCATTGCTCCCTATGGGCCCCATTGCCCCCCTATGGGTCCCATTGCCCCCCTGTGGGGCCCACTCCCCCCTCTATGGGTCCCAATGCCCCTCTATGGGTCCCATTGCACCCCTATGGGTCCCATTGCCCCCCTATGGGTCCCATTGCCCCCCTACGGAACCCAATGCCACACTATGGGTCCCATTGCCCCCTGTGTGTCCCAATGCACCCCCTATGGGTCCCATTGTCCGTCTATGGGTCACAATGCACCCCCTATAGCTCCCCGTGCCCTCTATGGGTCCCACTGGCCCCCTATAGGTCCCTATGTTACCCTATAGACGCCAATGTCCCCCCTACAGGTCCCATTACTCCCCTATGGGTCCCATTGCCCCATATGGGTCCTATTGCCCCCCCTATTGGTCCCAATGCTCCCCTATGGGTCCCAATGCACCCCTATGGGTCCCATTGCCCCTCTATGGGTCCCACTGCCCCCTTTTGGAACCCAATGCCGCCCTGTGAGTCCCAATGTACCCCTATGTGTCCCATTGCCCCCTATGGGTCCCATTGCCCCCTATGGGTCCCAATGGGCTCCAATACACCCGCTATGGGTCCCATTGCCCCCCCTATGGGTCCCAATGGGCTCCAATACACCCGCTATGGGTCCCACTGCCCCCCTATGGGTCCCAATGGGCTCCAATACACCCGCTATGGGTCCCACTGCCCCCCTATGGGCCCCATTGTGTCCTGTAAGTCCCATTGCCCCCTGTGGGTCCCACTGTGTCCTATACGTCCCATTGCCCCCTATGGGGCCCATTGCCCCCCCATGGGTCCCACTGATCCCTATGGGTCCCAATGCACCCCTATGGGGCCCATTGATCCCTATGGGTCCCAATGCACCTCTATGGGTCCCATTGATCCCTATGGGTCCCATTGCCCCCCATGGCTCCCATTGCGTCCTATAGGTCCCATTATCCCCCTATGGCTCCCATTGCTCCATCCACATCCACTTTATTCTCGCGCCTCATTGGCTGCAGGGCGGCAGGGGGCGGGGGTTAAGGGGCCAGGGGGCGGGGTTTGAAGGACGGGGGGGGGGGAGGGGGCGTGGCTACGCGGAGGGGGCGTGTCCCGGCGTGCTGACGTCATGGCTCAGTAGGCGTGGTTGGAGATGAAGAGGGATTCGCTGGCGGCGGCGCCCGCGGGGCCCGAGGGGGTGTAGAGGCCGCGGCAGGCCTGGGAGTTAGCCTGGAATGACATGGGAGAACATGGGATAACATGGGATGGACATGGGGTAACATGGGATTAACATGGGATAACATGGGATTGACATGGGGTAACATGGGATAATGACATGGGATAACATGGGGTAACATGGGATGACATGGGGTAACATTCGATAACATGGGATAACATGGGATAACATGGGATTAACATGGGGTAACATTCAATAACATGGGATAACATGGGATTGACATGGGATTGACATGGGATGAGGACATGCGATAACATGGGATAGTGACATGGAATAACATGGGATAATATGGGATAGTGACATGGGATAACATGGGATAACGGGATAACATGGGATAACAACATGGGAAAACATGGGATAACATGGGATAACAACATGGGATAACAACATGGGATAACAACATGGGATAACAACATGGGATAACAACATGGGATAACAACATGGGATAACATGGGATGACACGGGATGACATGGGAAAACAACATGGGATAACATGGGACAATAACGGGACAATAACATGGGATAATAACATGGGATAATAACATGGGATAATAACATGGGATAACATAACAAGAGATAACAAGGGATAACATGAGATAATGACATGGGATAGGGACATGGGATAGGGACATGGGTAACATGGGATCACATGGGATAATGACACAGGATAACATGGAATAACATGGAATAACACAGAATAACACAGAGTAACACAGAGTAACACAGAATGACATGGTTTTAACATGAAATTAACATGGAATAACACAGAGTAACACAGAATGACATGTAAAAAACGTGGAATAACATGAAATTAACATGGAATAACACAGAACGACATGGAATTAACACGGAATAACATGGAATAACATGGAAATAACATGGAATAACATAGAATTAACATGGAATAACAGAGTGACACAGAACGACATGGAATTAACACGGAATAACATGGAATTGACATGGAATAACATAGAAATAACATGTAATAACATGTAATAACATGGAATTAACACGTAATAACACGCAGTAACACGGAACCCCACGTACCAGGGCCCTCTTGACGTACTCCTCCTGGGCCTTCTTGGTGTTGTCCTTCTTGCCCGCCCAGGCCTTGAGGGCCGAGGCCTGCAGGGCCCGCCCATAGGAGAAGGTGAGGGCCCAAGGCCTGGCCAGGGAGCAGCGGTTGATGGCGTTGAGGTTGAGGGAGGCCTCCTCCTCGCTCTGGCCCCCCGATAGGAACGTGATCCCTATGGGTACAGGGGTACGGTCATAGGGGGTAATGGGGATAGAGCCCTATGGATATAGGGGTACGGTCATAGGGGGTAATGGGGATAGAGCCCTATGGGTACAGGGGTACGGTCATAGGGGGTAATGGGGATAGAGCCTGGTACAGGGGTAGGTCATAGGGGGTAATGGGGATAGAGCCCTATGGGTACAGGGGTACGGTCATAGGGGGGTAATGGGGATAGAGCCCTATGGGTACAGGGGTACGGTCATAGGGGGGTAATGGGGATAGAGCCCTATGGGTACAGGGGTACGGTCATAGGGGGGTAATGGGGATAGAGCCCTATGGGTACAGGGGTACGGTCATAGGGGGGTAATGGGGATAGAGCCCTATGGGTACAGGGGTACGGTCATAGGGGGGTAATGGGGATAGAGCCCTATGGGTACAGGGGTACGGTCATAGGGGGTAATGGGGATAGAGCCCTATGGGTACAGGGGTACGGTCATAGGGGGGTAATGGGGATAGAGCCCTATGGGTACAGGGGTACGGTCATAGGGGGTAATGGGGATAGAGCCCTATGGGTACAGGGGTACGGTCATAGGGGGTAATGGGGATAGAGCCCTATGGGTAGGGGTACGGTCATAGGGAATGGGGATAGAGCCCTATGGGTACAGGGGTCGGTCATAGGGAATGGGATAGAGCCCTATGGGTACAGGGGTACGGTCATAGGGGGTAATGGGGATAGAGCCCTATGGGTACAGGGGTACGGTCATAGGGGGTAATGGGGATAGAGCCCTATGGGTACAGGGGTACGGTCATAGGGGGTAATGGGGATAGAGCCCTATGGGTACAGGGGTACGGTCATAGGGGGTAATGGGGATAGAGCCCTATGGGTACAGGGGTACGGTCATAGGGGGTAATGGGGATAGAGCCCTATGGGTACAGGGGTACGGTCATAGGGGGGTAATGGGGATAGAGCCCTATGGGTACAGGGGTACGGTCATAGGGGGTAATGGGGATAGAGCCCTATGGGTACAGGGGTACGGTCATAGGGGGGTAATGGGGATAGAGCCCTATGGGTACAGGGGTACGGTCATAGGGGGGTAATGGGGATAGAGCCCTATGGGTACAGGGGTACGGTCATAGGGGGTAATGGGGATAGAGCCCTATGGGTACAGGGGTACGGTCATAGGGGGTAATGGGGATAGAGCCCTATGGGTACAGGGGTACAGTCATAGGGGGGAATGGGGATAGAGCCCTATGGGTACAGGGGTACGGTCATAGGGGGTAATGGGGATAGAGCCCTATGGATACAGGGGTACGGTCATAGGGGGTAATGGGGATAGATCCGTATGGATACAGGGGTACGGTCATAGGGGGTAATGGGGATAGAGCCCTATGGGTACAGGGGTACGGTCATAGGGGGTAATGGGGATAGAGCCCTATGGATACAGGGGTACGGTCATAGGGGGTAATGGGGATAGAGCCCTATGGGTACAGGGGTACGGTCATAGGGGGTAATGGGGATATAGGGATATGGATACGGGAACATGGGGATGGAAACATGGATATAGGACCATGGGGATGGGGACATGGATATAGGGACATGGTGCTGGGGACATGGATATAGGGACATGGGGCTGGGGACATGCATATAGGACCATGGATACAGGGACACGGATATGGGACCATGGATATAGGGACACGGATATGGGACCATGGATATAGGGACATGGATATAGGGACACGGGTATGGGACCATGGATATAGGGACACAGATAGGGGACCATGGATATAGGGACATGGATATAGGGACACAGCTATGGGACCATGGATATAGGGACATGGATATAGGGACACGGCTATCGGACCATGGCTATAGGACCATGGATATAGGGACACAGCTATGGGACCATGGATATAGGACCATGGATATAGGGACACGGCTATGGGACCATGGCTATAGGGACATGGATATAGGGACACGGATATGGGACCACGGATATGGGACCATGGATATAGGGACACAGATAGGGGACCATGAATATAGGGACACGGATATAGAAACACGGATATGGGACCATGGATATAGGGACATGGATATAGGGACACGGATATGGGACCACGGATATGGGACCATGGATATAGGGACACAGATAGGGGACCATGAATATAGGGACACGGATATAGAAACACGGATATGGGACCATGGATATAGGGACACGGCTATCGGACCATGGCTATAGGACCATGGATATAGGGACACAGCTATGGGACCATGGATATAGGGACCATGGATATAGGGACACAGCTATGGGACCATGGATATAGGGACCATGGATATAGGGACACGGCTATGGGACCATGGCTATAGGACCACAGATACAGGGCCATGGCTATAGGAACCATGGATATAGGACCACAGATACAGGGCCATGGCTATAGGGGACCACGGGTCTGTGTCACGGACCGGGCACGGCGGGGGGCACGGTGCGGCGCAGCGCGGTGACGGTTGCCATGGCGATCTCCTCGGGGCTGTACTTGGTGGGGCAGGCATGGCCCGGGGTCACCATATTGGGCTTGAGCAGGGTCCCCTCCAGGTACACGTGGTGGTCGCTCAGGGCCTTGTACACTGCGGCCAGGACCTATGGGGGGGTATAGGGTTAGGGGTACCCCCCCCATTCAATGGGGTACAATGGGGGTACCCCCCCCTCTTCAATGGGGTACAATGGGGGTACCCCCCCTCTTCAATGGGGCACAATGGGGGTATAGGGTTAGGGGTACCCCCCGTCTTCAATAGGGCACAATGGGGGTATAGGGTTAGGGATACCCACCCCATTCAATGGGGCACAATGGGGGTATAGGGTTAGGGGTACCCTCCCTCTTCAATGGGGCACAATGGGGGTATAGGGTTAGGGGTACCCCCCCTCTTCAATGGGGTACAATGGGGGTATAGGGTTAGGGATACCCCCCTCCTCAATGGGACACAATGGGGGGACAGGGACCCCCCCAATGGGACACAATGGGGGGACAGGGACCCCCCTCAATGGGACACAATGGGGGGACAGTGACCCCCCTCAATGGGACACAATGGGGGGACAGGAACCCCCCCAATAGGACTCAATATTGGGGGGCCCATAGGGCTGCACCCCACCTTCTCAGTGACGTATTGGCAGTGCTTGAGGTCGTGGTTCCCATCTGGCAGGATCTCGGGCTCCACAATGGGGACGATGCCGTTCTATGGGGGTAAGGATGGGGTGCAGGAGGTGACCCCATAGCCCCATAGCAACCACCACATCCCCATCCCCATGGATCCTGCATCCCATGGATGTCCCCATGTCCCTGTTCCCATAGCAACCACCACATCCCCATCCCCATGGATGCTGCATCCTATGGAGGTCCCCATGTCCCTGTTCCCATGGCAACCTCCATGCCCCCATCCCCATGGATCCTCCATCCCATGGAGGTCCCCCCATGTCCCTGTTCCCATGGCAACCACCATGCCCCCATCCCCATGGATGCTGCATCCCATGGAGGTCCCCATGTCCCTGTTCCCATAGCAACCACCACATCCCCATCCCCATGGATGCTGCATCCCATGGATGTCCCCATGTCCCTGTTCCCATGGCAACCTCCATGCCCCCATCCCCATAGATCCTGCGTCCCATGGATGTCCCCATGTCCCTGTTCCCATGGCAACCTCCATGTCCCCATACCCATGGATGCTGCATCCCATGGATGTCCCAATGGCAACCTCCATGTGGTCAATGTCCCCATAGGTTCTGGACTCCTTCCATGGCCCCATTGCCCCCATTCCCATGGATCCCCCATTCTTTGGATCCCCCCATCCCCATGGATCCCCCATCCCCATGGATCCCCCCATCCCTTGGATACCCCCATCCCTTGGATACCCCCATCCCCATGGATACCCCCATCCCTTCCACATCCCCATCCCCATAGATACCCCCCCACCCCCTGGACACCCCCATCCCCATGGATAACCCATCCCCATGGATACCCCCATCCCTTCCACATCCCCATCCCCATGGATCCCCCATCCCCATGGACACCCCCATCCCCATGGATACCCCCATCCCCATGGATCCCCCATCCCCATAGATACCCCCATCCCCATGGATCCCCCATCCCCATAGATACCCCCATCCCCATAGATACCCCCATCCCTTCCACACCCCCACCCCCATAGATACCCCCATCCCCACAGATACCCCCATCCCCATAGATACCCCCATCCCCATAGATACCCCCACATCCCATGGACACCCCCATCCCCATGGATCCCCCATCCCCATAGATACCCCCACCCCCATAGATACCCCCATCCCCATTGTCCCCCATCCCCATAGATACCCCCACCCCCTGGACACCCCCATCCCCATGGATCCCCCATCACCCCCTAACCCTCCATGGGGAGCCAGTCACCTGCTGGCAGATGCTGGCGTAGCGGGCCAGGACGTTGGCGTTCTCCATGATGGCCAATGGGGTCGGGGTCCCCTCGGAGATCTTGAGCACGCAGCGCCACTTGGCAAAGTCAGCCCCGTCCTTCTTGTACTGGGCACAGCGCTCCATGAGCCCGTCCAGGCCTGCGGGTGGGGGGCGGCAATGGGGGTTGGGGGGGCAGCAATGGGGCTTGGGGGGCAGTAAGGATGGGGGGCGGCAATGGGGTTTGGGGGGGCACATGGGGGGGCAGCAATGGGGTTTGGGGGGGGAACATGGGGGGGGCAGCAATGGGGATTGGGGGGGACCTGGGGGGGCAGCAATGGGGCTTGGGGGGGGCAGCAATGGGGCTTGGGGGGCAGCAGGGATGGGGGGCAGCAATGGGGATTGGGGGGGGAACATGGGGGGGGCAGCAATGGGGTTTGGAGGGGGCACATGGGGGGGGACAGCAATGGGGTTTGGGGGGAGAGGGGGACGTGGGGGGGCAGCAATGGGATTGGGGGGGGGGGGCACGTGGGGGGGCATAGGGGGGCTGCAGGGATGGGGGCATCAATGGGGTTTGGGGGGAACATGGGGGGGGGCTGCAATGGAGACAGGGGCTGGGGGGGCAGCAATGGGGCTTGGGGGGCAGGGTGGATGGGGGCATCAATGGGATGGGGGGCGGCAGGGATGGGCATGGAGGGGGAAACAGGGATGGGGGCATGGAACAGATGGGGGGGCAGCAGGGATGGGGGCAGCAATGGGGTTGGGGGGGGAACATGGGGAGGGCACAATGGGGTTTGGGGGCATGGGGGGGCAGCAATGGGTTGGGGGAGAAACATGGGGGGGCAGCAATGGGGATTGGGGGGTGGGCAGACATGGGGGGGGGCAGCAATGGGGATTGGGGGGGAACATGGGGGGGCAGCAATGGGGTTTGGGGGGGGCAGCGATGGGGCTTGGGGGGCAGTAGGGATGGGGGCATCAATGGGGATTGGGGGCGCAGTAGGGATGGGGGCATCAATGGGGTTTGGGGGGGGCAGCAGGGATGGGGGCAGCAATGGGGATTGGGGGGGCAGCAGGGATGGGGGGCAGCAATGGGGATTGGGGGGGGAACATGGGGGGGGCAGCAATGGGGTTGGGGGGGCAGTAGGGATGGGGGCATCAATGGGGTTTGGGGGTGATCCATAGGATGGGGACATAGGAGGGGATAGAAGGGACGGGGGCATCAATGGGGATTGGGGGGGCAGCAGGGATGGGGGCATCAATGGGGCTTGGGGGGGCAGCAGGGATGGGGGCATCAATGGGGCTTGGGAGGGCAGCAGGGATGGGGGCATCAATGGGGATTGGGGGGCAGCAGGGATGGGGGCATCAATGGGGATTGGGGGGCAGCAGGGATGGGGGCATCAATGGGGATTGGGGGTGACCCAAAGGATGGGGGCATCAATGGGGTTTGGGGGTGACCCAAAGGATGGGGGCACCCATAGGGTTTGGGGGTGACCCAAGGGATGGGGGCATCAATGGGGTTTGGGGGTGCCCTCCATGGGGCTGTGCCTCACCTTGGGTCGTGGTCTCCCCATTGGTGCCAGCCAGGGGCACGACGCCCTTGTCCACCTATGGGATGGGGCCACAGCAATGGGGCCACCGGCTTGGGCCCTATAGGGTGTCCCCCCCCCCCACCCACCATGGGGTCACCCCTTTAAAACCCCCCCATTGATGGGGTCGATGCACCCCATGGAGCACCCAATGCCCCCAGCACCCCAAGACCCCCCCACTGACATGCTCCATGCACCCCACAGACCCCCATTGCCCCCAATACCCCCCCATTGACATGCTCAATGCACCCCCCAGACCCCCATTACCCCCAATACCCCCCCATTGCTGATATTTCTGCACCCCACAGACCCCCATTGCCCCCAATACCCCCCCATTGACATGCTCAATGCACCCCCCAGACCCCCATTACCCCCAATAACCCCCCATTGACAGGCTCCACGCACCCCACAGACCCCCATTACCCCCAATACCCCCCCATTGACATGCTCCATGCACCCCACAGACCCCCATTACCCCCAATACCCCCCCATTGACATGCTCCATGCACCCCACAGACCCCCATTGCCCCCAATACCCCCCATTGCTGATATTCCTGCACCCCCCACACCCCCATTGCCCCCAATACCCCCCCCATTAATAGGGTCCACAGACCCCCATTACCCCCAATACCCCCCTTGCTGACAGGCTCCCCGCACCCCACAGACCCCCATTACCCCCAATACCCCCCCATTGACAGGCTCCCACACCCCACAACCCCAAACCCCCTGATACCTGCACCCCACAGACCCCCATTGCCCCCAATACCCCCCCACTGACATGCTCCATGCACCCCACAGACCCCCATTGCCCCCAATACCCCCCCCATTGATAGGGTCCACAGACCCCCATTACCCCCAATACCCCCCCATTGACATGCTCCCTGCACCCCACAGACCCCCATTACCCCCAATACCCCCCCATTGACAGGCTCCCCGCACCCCACAGACCCCCATTGCCCCCAATACCCCCCCACTGACATGCTCCATGCACCCCACAGACCCCCATTGCCCCCAATACCCCCCATTGCTGATATTCCTGCACCCCCAGACCCCCATTACCCCCCCATTGACATGCTCCATGCACCCCACAGACCCCCATTACCCCCAATACCCCCCCATTGCTGATACTGCTGCACTCCCCAGACCCCCATTGCCCCCAATACCCCCCCATTGACATGCTCAGTGCACCCCCCAGACCCCCATTGCCCCCAATCCCCCCCCAATGACATGCTCCATACACCCCACACACCCCCATTGCCCCCAATACCCCCCCATTGCCAGGCTCCACAGACCCCCATTACCCCCAATCCCCCCCATTGCCATGCTCCCCGCACCCCACAAACCCCCATTGCCCCCCCATTACCCCGCCCCCCACCCCAAACCCCCCCCCCGTTTCCCCCACCCCCCCCCAAGACCCCCACCTTGATGCCCACGAGCGCCCCCTTGGCCCGGATGACCTCGGGGAAGGGGCGCCCATCGTCGGCCTTCTGGTAGAGGGTCTCATGGAAGAGGATGACGCCCCCGATGCAGGGGTCCACGCGGCTGTCGGCCGTGAAGAGCAGCTGCCGGTACCAGCGCCGGTTCTCCTCCGTGTTCTCCGCCCCTACCGAGCTCAGGCGCTTGGCGATGCTGCCTGCAGGCGAACCAGTAGGAACCAGTCCCTCTCTCCATCACCCCCATGGGTCCCAGTGCCCCCCCATCACCCCCATGGGTCCCAGTGCCCCCCCATCACCCCCATGGGTCCCAGTTCCCCTCTCCATCACCCCAATGGCTCCCCCTCCATCACCCCCATGGGTCCCAGTCACTCTCTTCATCACCTCGATGGGTCCCAGTCCCTCCCTCCATCACCCCAATGGGTCCCAATCCCTCTCTCCATCACCCCAATGGGTCCCAATCCCTCTCTCCATCACCCCCATGGGTCCCAGTCCCCCCCTCCATCACCCCCATGGGTCCCAGCTCCCCTCTCCATCACCCCCATGGGTCCCAGTCCCTCTCCCCATCACCCCGATGGGTCCCAGCCCCCCCCCATCACCCCAATGGGTCCCAATCCCCCCCTCCATCACCCCAATGGGTCCCAGTTCCCCTCTCCATCACCCCAATGGCTCCCCCTCCATCACCCCAATGGGTCCCAGTCCCCCCCATTCCATCACCCCCATATCCCTCCCCATATCCCGGTACCGGTGGACTCATCCGCCGCCAGGATGCCTTTGCCGGGGGCCACGATCCGCTGGGCGATCCCCGCCAGCTCCTTCTTCTGCTCCGGCGTCAGCGCGGGTACGGGCGGCGCCATCTTGGGCTCTGCGTCTGACGTCACCGCGCACGGCGCGTCATGCGTCGGGCGGACGTGACCGCCCTACCCCTCCCCAATGGCGGTCGACCCCCCATCAAGGGCGACCCAAGGGCACCCCCCCCGAGGTTCTGACCCCAAAATCGGCTCTTTTCAGCCCAAACCGGGGCTTGACACCCCGAAATCTGACTTTTTCACCCCAAAAGCTGGCCTCTTGCCCCAAAATACGTCTTTTTCGCCCCAAAATATACCTTTCCCCTTCCAAAATACACGGTTTTCAACCCAAAACCTGCCCTTTCCATCCCAAAATCTCCCCTTTCCACCCCAAAATCTGCCTTCTCCCCAAACCCCTGCCGTTTCAATCCCAAAATACGCCTTTTTCACCCCAAAATTTGCCCTTTCACCCCAAAATCGGACTTTTTCACCCCGAAATCAGCTTTCACCCCAAACCTGAACTTTCCACCCCAAAATAGCTGCTTCTTACCCCAGAATCTGCTTTTTTCACCCCAAAATCTGCACTTCCCATGCCCAAATCTGTTTACCCCAAATCAGTGCTTTCCACTCTAAAATCCAACTTTTCACCCCAAATCAGCCCTTTTCACCCCCAAATCCACCCTTTTCACCCAAAATCTGCCTATTTAACCCCAAAATCAGTGCTTTTCGCCCCCAATAACTGCTTCCCACCCCAAAATCCGCCTTTTCCACCCAGAATCAGTGCTTTTCACCCAAAAATCAGTGCTTTCTACCCCAAAATCTGCCTTTTTCACCCAAAATCCACCTTTCCTACCCCAAAATCTCCTCACCCCCGCCCAAATCTGCCCCTTTTACCTCAGAATTTCCCCCAAATCGCCTCTTTTCACCCCAAAACCCAAGCCCACCCCCCAAAATCTGCACTTTTTCCCTCAGAATCTGCCTCCAGACCCTAAAATCTCCCTTTTTTACCTCAGAATTTGCCCCAATTCCACCCTTTTCACCCTAAAATCTGCTCCTTTCACCTCAGCTCCCCAAATCTGCCTTTTTCACCCCAAAATGTCATCCAACCCCCCAAAATCTGCCCTTTTTTACCTCAGGAACTCCCAGCTCCCAAAACCTGACACTTTTGCCCCAAAATCTCCCCTTTTCACCCCACATCTGCCTTTTTTACCTCAGAATCTGCCCAAAATCCCCCAAATCTGTCCTTTTCACCCCAAAAATCCATCTTTTTAACCTAAAACCTGCCCTTTTTACCTCAGAATCTGCCCCAATACCTCAAAATCTGCCCTTTTCACCCAAAACCTGCTCTTTTTACCTCAGAATCTCCCCCAAAACCCCCAAATCTGCCCCTTTTACCCCAAAATCTGCCTTTTTCACCCCAAACCTGCTCTTTTTACCTCAGAATCTGCCCCCAAACCCCCGAATTCGCACTTTTCACCCCAAAATCTGTTTTTATACCACAAACCTGCCCTTTTTACCTCAGAATCTGCCCCCAAACCCCCAAATCTGCTCTTTTCACCACAAAACCTAACTTTACTACTAAAAACCTACCCTTTTTACCTCAGAATCTGTCCCTTTTACCCTCAAATCTGCCCTTTTCACCCCCAAATCTGCCCTTTACCTCAGAATCTGCCCCAACACCCCGAAATCTGCCCCTTTTACCCCAAAATCTAACTTTAACACCCCAAATCTGACTTTTTTACCTCAGAATCTGCCCCAAAACCCCCAAATCTCCTCTTTTCACCCCAAAATCTAACTTTATTGCCTAAAACCTGCCCGTTTTACCTCAGAATCCCCCCTTCACCCCAAAATGTGCCCCTTTCACCCCAAAACCTACCTTTCATACCCAAGACCTGCACTTTTCACCTCAGAATCTGCCCCAAAACCTCAAAATCTCCCCTTTTTACCCCAAAATCCATCTTTGATACCCAAAACCTGCCCCTAAACCCCCAAATCTGCCCTTTTCACCCCAAAACCCATCTTTTGATACCCAAAACCTTCCCCTAAACCCCGAAATCTGCCCTTTTCACCCCAAAACCTACCTTTTATACCCACAACCTGCACTTTTTACCTCAGAACCTGCCCCTAAACCCCAAAACCTGCTCTTTCCACCCCAAAACCTAACTTTTCTCCCCACAACCTGCACTTTTTACCTCAGAATCTCCCCAAACTCCCCACTTTTCCCCAAAAAAACTTCCTTTTTCCCCAAAAAAACTTCCTTTTCCGTCCCAAAACCCTCCTTTTTCCCCTCGAAACCCCCTCTTTCCCCTTAGTTGTCCCTAAACCGCCTTTTTCCACCCCAAAACCCACTTCCCCCCCCACCCAAACTCACACCTGGACGCGGACAGCGGCGGGCAGGGGCGGGGCCACGCCGTGACGTCAACGCGTCGGGGGGGGGACGCTCTTAAAGGGGCAACGTCCCTATGGTGGGGACACCCCCAACCTCTTAAAAGGGCAACGGCAGGAGGGGTTGAGGTATTGGGGTACAGGGGGGGCTTTGGGGTGCGGAGAGGGGGTAAGCGCCCCATAGAGTGCAATGGGGGTGTTGGGGTGCAAGGGGGGATCCATTTAAAGAAAGGGGGGTATTGGGGTGCAGCGAATGGGCCCCCCCCATCCATCACTTACCTTGGGGTGACCCTGAGTGCCGCTGGGGGTGCTGGGGGCACCCCTTTATATAGGGGCTCCTATAGTAAAGGGGGGGGCCACCCCCCTCATGTGACCTTCTCAGGTGACCTCTGCCCTTTCCGCAGCCCAAAATAGCGCCCAGCCCCTCCCCCACCCCGCCACCCCCACATCCGTGGGGTGGGGGGAGGGGAAACCCCCCCCCATAGCCCCTCCCCCACCCAATATGGGGCTGGTTTTGCGCGCCTCCCCCATTTTTGGGCCCCCCCCCTCATTATGGGGGTCCCCGTTGTCGCTATAGCGACGTGGTTGCCATGGCAACGCCCGTGGTATTCCCTCCCAGTCCCCAAAGGACCCCAAAGGGGGGACCCTCATTAATATTCATTCCCCCTCATGCATATGCAATGAGCCCGCCGTCGCCATGGCAACAACCCCCCCCCTCCTTCCTTTTCCCTGCCTGGCAACGCGCCCGCTGTGCTCTATCCCCATTGGCTCGCGGCTCGGCCAATCAGGAGGCGGCGCGACGCGCATGCGCGGTGCGCACTGCCCCCCCCCTCATATCACCGTTGCCGTGGAGACGCGGCGGCCTCAGGGGGTGGGAGCCGTTGGCGCGCAGGTAAAGAAAGGCCTTTAACGTATGCTAATGTATGCTAATGAGAGGGGAGGGGCTTGAGGGGAGGGGCACAGGCATTGGGGAAGGCTTTGTGGGCGGGGACATGCAAATGAGGGGGGCGGGGGGGTGGGCGAGGGCCAATGGGAGGGGTTAGGCCTCAACTGCAGCGGCCTGCAGACCCCCAAGCCACGCCCCCGTTAGGCCACGCCCCCTTTCTCCAATACCGTTCCTCCCCTTTAAGCCACGCCCTGTTTACCCCGCCCAATCACGTCCCTCCCCCCATAGACCATGCCTCCTCTAGACCACGCCCCCTTTATGCTAATCCCCTTTAAGCCACGCCCCTCTCCTCCCATTCACCGCCCCAGGCCACGCCCCCTTTTACCACACCCAATCACATCCCTACCCCTTAAGCCACGCCTCCTATAGACTACGGCCCATTTGCTCCAATTAGGTTGCTCCCCTTTAAGCCACGCCCCGGTCCCCTCCCATTCACCCCACCCATCAGCCACGCCCCTTTTTACCACGCCCAATCACATCCCTCCCCCTTAAGCCACGTCTCCTATAGACCATGCACCCTTTGCGCCAATAACATTGATCCCCTTTTAGCCACGCCCCCTTTAACCCCACCCAATCACGTCCCTCCCCCTTTAGACCGCGCCCCCTTCCGACTCCCATTCACCACCCCAGGCCACGCCCCTTTACATCAAGAACGTTTCTCCTTTAAGCCACGCCCCTTTCCCCACCCATTCACCATCACCCATAAGCCACGCCCCCTTTGTCCCCCCCAATCTCATCCCTCCCCCTTTAGACCACGCCTCCTTTATACCACGCCTCATTTACTCCAATCACATTGCTCCCCTTTAAGCCACGCCCCCTTCCCCACTCATTCTCTCCCATCAGCCACACCTCCTTTACCCC